TGGATAGCTGGTGCCAACAGAGGCTGAGGTCTAGGCCTTTCTGTCTGGGCTACATAGAGATCTCAAGCCATTAGTAATTCAATCTGGAGTAATGAACATAGCCATACCAATTTGTGAGTAGTAATAATCAAGTGACAGATCAATTCATTATGTCACTCTACCAGAAGATATGCTAGTCATAAAAAGTACAGCTTCCCCCCCTACAAAGTTTCATAAAACTTAGATCAATGTGTTTTTAAGTTCTAAAATAAAATGGATCATTAAAAAGGAAATGAATTATGTTGGGTAGCCTCAAGCCTATTTATATTCAGACTTGCTTATCCAGAATTACTGTGCCTTTCTTTCCAAATGTCTTTGGGCATTGAGGCCTGCACATCTGAGTAATTGCTACTTATTAATTAAACCTGTGAAATGGAACACAGCTCCAGACTTTGAAAGGGGGGGTTGGGATAGTTGAAATACATTCTTCCCAAAATCATCAGTAATAATTTGAGTTTTTATGAGTAAATAGCTGCCTTGAGAATAATTGTTTTATGTCTACTGAGAAGCTTCCATCATCTTTTAACACCTCAGTGAACATTGTTGTGCTTCTCCTGGGCCAGGCATTGTGCTTAGCACAGGTGGTACCACCTAAAATAAGCACAGTCTCTATCCTAAGACAGCAGTAGAGACATCAATAACATGTAATAAATACAGGATTGTGACAACACTTCTGCCTTCACTGAGGGGTGAAAGATTAAGGAAATACTAGACAGAGACCGCATCAAAAAATAAAATAAAATACCTAGAAATACATTTAACCAAGGATGTAAAAGACCTGTACTCTGAAAATTATAAGACATTGAAGAAAAAAAAATGGAGGAAGATACAAATAACTGAAGCATATGCCACTCATGGATAGGATGAATTAACATCATTAAAATGTCCATACCCAAAGCAATATATAGAGTCAATGAAATTCCTATCAAGATATCAATGGTGTATTTCACAGAACTAGGACAAATATTCCAAAACTTTATATGGAACCCCCACATAGCCACAGCAATCTTGGGAAAGAAGAACAAAGTTGGAGAAATCATACTACCTGATATCAAACTATACTACAAGGCAATAGGAATAGAAGCATCATGGTACTGGCATAAAAACAGACATATGATCAATGGAACAGAGTAGAGAGTCTAGAAATAAACTCATGCCTTTATCTTCAATTAATATTTGACAAAGATGGCAAAAGTATACAATGGATGTAGATAACCTATTCAACAAGTGGTGTTGGGAAAATTGGACAGATCGATGCAAACAAAATGAAAGTAGACCATACACAAGAATAAACTAAAAATGGATTAAAGATTTAAATCTTAGATTCAAAACTATAAAAACCCTAGAAGAAAATATAGGCAGTAAAATCTCGGACATTTCTTATAGCAGTGTTTTTTGTTTTGTTTTGTTTCTGATATATAGCCTTGGGAAAGAAACAAAAGAAAAAAACAAATGGGACTGTATCAAACTAAAAGGTTTTTGCACAGCAAAGGAAACCATCAACAACATGAAAACATAATCCACTGAATGGGAGAACATATTTGCCAATGACACATCTGATAAAGGGTTAATATCCAAAATTTATAAAGAACTTATACAATTCAACACCAAAAAATAAAACAAAACACAAAGACAATCCAGTTTAAAAATGGGTCAAGGATCTGCATAGACACTTCTCCAGATATGACATACAGATGGCCATAGACATATGAAAAGATGCTCGATGTCAGTAAGTATCAGAGAGATGCAGATAAAACCACAGGAGATATCACCGCACACCTGTTAGAAGGGCTGTCATCAATACATCAACAAACAAATGTTGGCCAGGATGTGGAGAAAAGGGAGCCCTTATGCACTGTTAGTGGAAATGCAGATTGGTGCAGCCACGAAGGAAAGCAGTATGAAGTTACTTCAAAAAATTAAAAATTGTACTGCCTATGACCCAAATATTCCACATGTGGAAATATATTTGAAGAAACCTGAAACATGAATTTGAAAGAATATATGCACCCCGGTATTCCTTGCAGCATTATTTACAATAGCCCAAATGTCCATCATAAGATAAATTAACTGTGGTACCTTCATACCAGCGGTTCTCAGCCTGTGGGTCGCGACCCCTTTGGCGATCGAACGACCCTTTCACAGGGGTCGCCTAAGACCATCCTGCATATCAGATATTTATATTACAATTCATAACAGTAGCAACATTGCAGTTATGAAGTAGTAACAAAAATAATTTTATGGTTGGGTCACAACATGAGGAACTGTATTTAAAGGGCCAGAAGGTTGAGAACCAGTGCTTTATACAATGGAATACTACTCGGCCATAAAGAAGAAGGGAACTTACCCTTTGCGACAGCATGGATGGACCTGGAGAGCATTATGCTAAGTGAAATATGCCAGTCCGAGAAAGACAAGTATCCATATGATTTCACTCATATGTGGAATCAAATAAACAAAATAAACTAACAAACCAAATAGAAGCAGACTTGTAGATAGGCAAGAGATTGACAGCTGTCAGAGGGAAGAGGAATTGTGGTACAGTTGAAAAAGATGAAGGCATTAAGCCAAAGAGAAAAAACCCAACCCATAGACACAGACAACAGTATGGTGATTACCAGAGGGAAATGGGATTGAGAGGAGGTAGAAGAGAGTATGGGGAGATAAATGGTGATGGAAGGAGACTTGACTTGGGGTGGTGAACACATAATATAATATACAGATGATGTATTATAGAATTGTATACCTGAAACCTATATAACTTTATTAACTAATGCCACCCCAATAGATTTAATTAAAATGGGGGGGGGGACCCGATGAGGAACCCAAAGCTTGGACATACTGAGCCACTTGCCCAGACACCCAGAGCTGGAAACTGGCAGAGGTGACTTGGGAAAAAGTATACTATTTCTTAAGTTTGGCCTTCATATTCAAAACAGTGGAACCCACTATCAACACTCAAATAATAGAAGCATTGCTAAACACATTACACATTACATACACTTTGTCATTGTGTTCTCTCCCTACAATCCAAGGAGGTGTGAGGCCAATGCAGCTTTCAGCAGAGGAATGATGTAAATAGAGCTGACTTCTGGACAGTGCCTAGTGGTAGCAGGCAGGATAAAGCGGAACCTAGAAATTCTAGTCAGGGAGCCTAGTTATGAGGCTATTGCTTGAGTTGGAGTGCTGAGAAGCATGGTGGTGAAGAATGATCATCATCCAAACCATGTATTTTTATATTGGTCTGCAATTTAAAAGTGCCTTCGTACATATATAACTTGTTGATTCATTTGCACAAAGGACTTTTGTGACAAGAGGGGTAGGTCTATTGATTTAACTCCTTTGGGAGGGGAACTATAAGGGCATGGAATTCACTTCTGCACCCAGGAGCTGATGTTGAAAGCAATGGTCATTACTGCAGCTTTTAAATATGCATACTTGCTGATGGACTGAGGCACAGAAGCAAAGTCTTTTCCCCCCTTGCCAGGTAAGAACTTGACCATCTGCATTAAGGCTTTCAGACTAGAAATGTGATGCAGTTCTGGGTAGAATAGAAAACTCCAGGAACACAAAGAATGTTTGTAAAATATTCTTATGTGGACCAGGATATGAGTGGCAAATCTCCTTGCTGCAGGTGTTGCTTAGCAATCAAAAAGCAGCTTATATTTCTAATTGAGTTGTTCATAGACTTGACCCCTCTCCCCGCCATGACCCTTTCAGAGGTGGAAGTTTTTAGGAAATTACTTTCAGCCCTAGAAAAGTATAGCAAAGTACACATCTGCTGATAAAATTGGTTGAGTTACTATTTCAGTAAAGGCTCAGTTTCAAAACCTACACTTAGGTCAGTAGAACAGTTTTTTCTCCCACAAAATAGAAGTATACAAGCGAAACAGTGCTGGTATTTACAGAATTGTGTTAAAAAAAAAAAACACTCACTATAAATAGCCCTGAATGCTATGAAGGTATGTCTGTGCAAACTGACTTCTCTGCCCAATTTCCCTCTCGTTTCTCATAATGAATAGTTTCCTTCTTCTAACAGGTGATTTAGAGAAGCCCCTAATATTTTCTTAACAATAGTGAATGGCTTTAACTTTTGACTTACTTGTCTCTTATAGGTAATTTGTATATTTTTATACTCAGGGCTAGCAAATGGACAATTAAGTTTTATGGCTAGGTAATGGTGGCCTAGTTGTGGAGTGCAGATACATGTTTTGTGTAGCTGCTTATCCAAAAATATGCGTATGTGTTTAGCAAATTACTCAGACCCAGCTACTGTTGACCCTGTGTATTGTATTCCTTACCCTTTGAGTATAAATGACAATATAAACACAGCCATATACATAGATCTACAGTAGGGTTTTTTTTATCCTGTTTATTCCACATGTTTCATTTAATATAAGCCACAAGTTTCATGGGATGGGGCTTTAATACTCTGAGCCTAAAGTGCTTAATTTCCTGACTTCTTTTTGAGTATCCAGAGCTGCCCATTTTGAAAATTACGTCTATTTTGTGCCTATGTTTGCAAATGTATTAAAACCATCAAGAGTTTTTATATTTGAGCTAGAGAAAATGCTACTGATCACAGTGGCTTAAGCAGCAGCCAAGTATAGAAATTGTAACTAAGCGGAATTAGCAGGTACCTGGATTTGCAGAACAGTGATTTGGATGTACAAAGGTTCATATTTTGGAAGGCAGCTGCTTTGGTAGGTTGGTTGTTTAGGCAAAATGGAAATGATAATATGAAATAACTAAATAACGTGGGTACTGAAGATTTCTGAAGCTTTGATAGATGAAACTATGAGTAGAAAAGTCTGTCTTTGAATTCCAAAGATATCAGGAGGTATTCCAAGGTCTGGTTTCTTCTAGATGAGAAGTTGAAAAATAGGAAAGGTAGAGGGAAGTCAGCTGTTTATTTGTATACTATTTCTCTCATCTGTGCCTTTTCTTTTCCTTTTTCCCAGTGTTGCTAACAACCACAAGCAAAATTTGATGACAGTGGCGAACCTTGGCGTGGTGTTTGGACCCACCCTGCTTCGGCCTCAGGAAGAAACAGTAGCCGCCATCATGGATATCAAATTTCAGAACATTGTCATTGAGATCCTGATCGAAAACCATGATAAGGTGATATAATTGGGCACTGAAGAATTTGCCTTGGGGGAGGCTGAGTTGGAACTGGCATTCAGAGTTGACTGGTGTTCACATTGCTAATGAGAACTGTGATGATGATGAAGTTGCAGGTAGTGGCAGCAATGGCAGCAATGATAATTTCAGGATGGCAGCTGCAACAACAGTAGTTATGGTGGCGACAGCATTGGGAACTGTGCTGAGTCCTTTACATATGTTGCCTTTTTATCCTTACAACAATCCAATGAAGAAGGTGCTAGTCTAAGTCTCATTTTGAAGATTTCCTTTGCCCATTTTCTTTTACTTGGTTGTCCTCATGAGTTTATAATAGTTACTATAAGTGAAATTAAACTATTTTCATTAGTGTTGCAAATATTTTTCCTAATCTGAAGTTTGCCTTTCAGTTATATAAATGGTGTATTATTTCTATATATGTGTATGCATGTTTGTGTGTATGCATGCGTGTATGTGTGTGTGTGCATGCATGTGCATGGTCTGTCTTTTCCTTTAGGACATTTTGGTCTTTCTTAAGAAGACCTCCCTCCACAGAGTTGTCCTCATAACACTGGGGTAGGGGCATGATGCTTCACTCATCTGTCCCACCCCAGTTACGCATGGCAGATCCCTAGGTAGCTTCTCAGAAGCTGCAGGGTCCCCTAGAGCATCATTTGACAGCCACAGCTCTGGTGTCAAATAAAAAATGTGCTCCTTCTAAGTAAATCTTTACCTAGAATGGTGAATTAATTTTGCTAGATAACCTGCCAAATAAATTGAGACCACTCACCACCGCCTACACTAATAACACTCTAACGTTAGCTACCATCGTCTCTTGTCTGGATTTTTATTAGAGCCTCCTCGTTTGCTTCCCTCCTCTTACCCTTGGCTTGTCTATTCTGATATCAGCCACCAGAGTGAGATTTGTTTAAATTTAAGTCAAATCAAATCAGTTGTCTGCTAAGAACCCTTTAGGGGCTTTCCATGTCACTGAGTGAAAGCTAGAGCCCTTACAAGAGCCTGGAAGGTCCCACATGGTCTCTGCTTTCCCTGCTGTTACTGTCTCATCTCATTTCCTACCTGGGCTGCCTTGCTGTTCCCCACACCCGGCACCCCCTCCTACCTTAAGGCCTTTGCAGTTGCTATTAAACACTCTTCCTTCATAGAACTACATGGCATGTTTCCTCATCTCTTTCAAGCCTTCTAAGTGAGTCCCATCTAGATTTCTGTATTTAAAATTGCAAGCAGTCCCAGCCTCACTCCCTCCCTCCCCTTGATCCTGATTTCTCTCTCTTTCTCCATAGCACCTACCACTTCCTAGCATACTGTATAATTTACTTACTGATTTGATCTGTTGCCTTTGCGACCTCCACAAGAATGTACGCTTCATGAAAGCAGAAACTATTGTCAGTTTGTTCACTGCTTGGTTCCCAGGTTCTCAGTAGGCACCCAGCACATATATTGTGAATGGGCTCTTAAGGTAGCTGGCCTCCAAATAGTTCTCAGGAACCCTGGTCTCCTAATATTCACTCCATTGTGTAGTCCCCTTCAAGGGGAATAAGAGATTCCAATATTGATCCCAGTGTGATCAATAGGAATAGTGATCCCAATGTGATCAGTAGGATTTTGCAAAAGTAATGGAGTGTGACTTTGGAGACTAGTCATAAAAGACCTTGTAACATTTGCCTTGGTTTCTGGATGGGCTCACTGAACGGGAAACAAGCTACTGTGTTGTAAAGGCAGCCCCACAGCCCTGTGGGGAGGAAACCGGTTTCCTGCCAGCAACCAGACCAACTTGTCAGACACGTGAGTGAGCTGCTTCAGGAGTAGATCCTGCAGCCCTGATCAAACCTTCAGATGATGCAGCCCTGACTGACATCTTCAGGGCAACCTCGTAAGAGACCCTGAGTCAGAACTACCGTGCTAAGCCGCTCCTGAGTTCTTAACCCACAGAAGCAGGGAGTAAGTAGGTTTTAAGCAACTTATGACGTTTTTTGGTCATAAGATGTCATAGAGCATTAATAACTACTAAAGAACCTCTGATGTAAACTTTCACAAGTAGCGAGGGTATTCTGCAAAGTTGTGTAAGCAGCATGGCCTCCCTCTCCCATGGTTAATAAAGAGATACAGAAATCAAATAACTTTTTTGAAGAGATTATCTTCTTTTTATCCAAAATTTTGGGCCTCCTTCTAACCACCTCCTTTAAATATAATAAATCAGGTATAGTAGAAGTTTGTTATGTCTGATAAAAATGAACTTGTATAGAGGGGAGATATCGAACTGCAGTTTATAATATGGTTTCTAAAGACAAAGCACTTGGATTAAAATATGCTACCTCTTACTTGCCACGTGACCTTGAACAAACATGCTTCCTCTCACTCCTGTGCTTAACCTCTCTAGGCTTATTTTAAAAAATACTTTCAGTATAGTCTAACTGCTGTAACAAACAACCCCAAAATATCAGTAAAAGTTGATCTCTTGCTCACATAGCAGTTCACTGCAGGCATCTTGTATAGTGAGTGATTCAATAACCCAGGTTCCTCCCATCATGTAGATCTGCCTCTGCTCTGCAGATCACTGCAATAGACAGCTGGGGGAAGCATGAGAGAACATAGGAGATTGGGTAAGTTTATATGGGCCAAGCCTAGATGATGCTTTCCATATTTTCTTCTACATTCCATTGGCCAGAATTCACATGGCCACATCTAATTGCAAGGGAGGCTGGGAAAGCAGCCCAACCATATACTCAGAGAAGAGGGAAGCAATTTGGTGACCATCTAGCTAGTGTGCCACAGTCCTTCCATTGGTTTGTCCTGAGGATTAAATAAGATGATTTATTAAAGGGTTTAACCAAGAATCTGGTGGGTAGTAAGGTCCAGTAGGTATAAACCATTGTTTTTAGCAGTCTCAATAGATCCTCTGAAAATAGAGCTCAAGTCCATCCCTGGATGTGACATGTGCCCTTCTCCCAAAATAGTGCATTTTATAACTTAATCTTTTCTTAAATAAAATAATATTAAATGGTAAGGAATAAGCAATTTGATTATGTTTCATGTCCCTAAAAGGAAAAAAATAAAAGCTTATAGCAGGAAGTATCTCATGGTGTTTGAACTGTAGCTGTTTTTTAGGGTCCTTAGGCCTTCAAACCAGAAAACATATTTGAAAGCATGACAGAAAAAAGCACCGGATACTGCTAATAACAATATTGAAACTTGTGTAGACAAGCAGCTATCCTGCCTTGAGCACAAAATCTAGAAATAGAAATGAAATGTGAAATGCATGGCCAGACCTGCAAGTATATGGGCAAGAACTGTTGAGGAGACTCATCTAGTTGGCTGAATTGTACATTTCGTGACTCTCTGCTGTGGACTTGTGAGGTGCATTTTAAGAGGATTGCAGTGCTTATTTCTATGTTCTTTTGCATTAGTTAAGCCAGAGAGTGGGATGAATCACAGTGAGGTCCATGTTCCTGTGGGAGCTGATAAAGGAGTGTGAGGGAGAACATTCCTGGGTAAAGGCTGTACCAGAGTGTATGTCCCCAGTCCTGAGGGAGCTAATATACGCCCTTAATAGAGGTTTCTACTTTCAGACCCATGATGTATATGTGCATTATTCCAGGGAGAACATCCTTAATATTCATCAGGTTTGCCTTCCTGGTAAAAACAACTTAGAGTAAGGCAGCTTGGCTCCTTTTTAAATGTAGCTTCAGGCCTGGTATGGTATAAAGTGAGCAGCTGCTGCCTTGGCCTCCTTTGGAAGCCTGTGATGTTTACCTCACAGGAATTCTAAGCATCCATGGCCATACTCTGGCCTCTGACTTTCTGGAGACAAGGCTTTGAATCTCCTGCCAATAAAACTGAACTTTAAATCCAGAGAATTTTTATGTCCTTCCATGAACATTGTCAGAGACTTTAATTTATATAAAATTCATACCATTTAAATCTTAGGTAACAATATTTAATAAGCATTCCCTTGGCCTTGGCCATAACATACATTCACAAAGGTTCTGGAGTGACTAATTTTCCAACCATAGTGTCAGAAGTTGGCCAAAATCCTGAAACCACACTTGAAGAAATGCTTTTCAACAGCACTTTTTCATCCCCTCCCCCAACAAGAAGCGTATGATAGCATATGCCCTCTTGCTTGAAACAAGCCCTAATACAGATATTAAGTGATATCTGCCATAGTCACTGGCATAATATTCTCTCATTTAGTAAGACTAGTTTACATACGGTATTTGCTTTGTGCCTTGGAATAAAATTGGGAAGGATCCAGGAATAAGTAGAAAACAGTAGTGAAAGAGAATGTAGAAACCCAGACATGTAGGCACGGGAGAGGGAGAGGGAAAGGGAGAAGGAGGGGCAGGGGGAGGGAGGGGGAGAGGGAGACAGAAAGGGAGAGAATTATAAGATGTCTATTTCAGTTGTCCATCACTACATAACAAATCATGTCCAAGACTGTGACTTAAAACAGTAGTGATTTTTTCTCCCCCTGACAATTCTGAGAGGGCTTAGGTGTGCCCATATGGTATCAGCTGGGATTGTTTGACTGAGACTAGAGGATCCAGGATGCCTTACTCCACATGTCCGGGACCTTGGTAGTGGCTGTTGGCTGGGACATCTTGATCCTCCTCCACAGAGCCTCTCTTCTCCCCGTGTGATCTCTCAGTGTGCAGTAGTCTAGGCCAAACTTCCAAGAGAGCAAGCAAACACAGGAGGGGCAAGGCTTATCAAAGCCTGAGCCTAGAACAGAGTGTTACTTCAGTCACTTTGACATTTTAAAAAGAGGGCGAGGGGATACATGCTAGCTAGAAAATTCAGATTATTTACTTGCTAAAATATTTTTTTAAGAGAAGGAAAAGGGCTTGTATTTTAACAACTAAAGCATATAGTATTCTCTTTCCCTCCTTCCGTCCCTCCTTCCCACTTTACTCTCCCCTCTTGTTTACTAAGGACTAACACTGGACATTTAGCTCCAAGGGTTAGAAATGAGGATGTGCCTA